AGAAAAGAATGAAGTTTTAAATTAACGACATGATGGCCGAGGATAGGTGAGGGTAGGGGTTGAAAGAAGATGCAGAATTGAGATGGACGATAAGACGCGATAATAACAATCGGGATAACCTTGGAACGATTGCCCCAGTATCAACCATTATTTAATACGGCATGTCAGGGGTGTCAACTTCGAATATTTTGTCTCGCAAAGAATGTATTTCAATTAACCTGTTTCTTCCTCTTCACTCTATGTCACTCTCTTGATGTCGCTAGGTAGCGCGACAGTCCATTCTACATGTGATTATTTGCTTACGGATGATCAATTCCTAGAAGGGTTTTATGCCGTATAAAATTTCCTGCACCGGGACATTTGCGAGCGTGGCGGCTTTACCAGTACAACATATATGGGTCATCCCCTGAATATCCCAATCCGTCATAGAGGGGTCCCCCATATGGAGATCAATTGCGGTTCTGGCCAAGTTTCAGGGCTGTTAACACATAATACTGGATGCATCCATCCAGACCCCCTTTCGATTAGGGGGTGGAGACAGAGTGTGGCGGTGCGTAATTGTATAACCGTCATTAACAAGGTGGACCTGCCCGCGTCACGCAATTTACTAGGATTTACTACAGTTTACTGCATTCTGCCACTTATAACGCCACCGCCTGTGTAAATTAACTGTAAATCATACTTTCAGGACGCCCCCTTGGGCGTCTGGACATAGGTGACACTTATTTCAACTGCCTTGGCTCTATCAACTCTTTATTCTAACCAGCAGTCTTTTCCTTCTCTTCTATTCTCTGTGATGGATTAGCCTCTTTTCGTGTCCTTTCGTTCTTTTGCCGGCCTTCCTCTCTCTTTCCCACGAGCTATTTTGCCCGTTTTCAGCTTCCATAGATCCAACCACCCTCAATCACAATGCCGAAGACTCGTCCTGCCACCTCGGGATACGCCCGGCTCGCCCAGGCCGATGAGGAACGAGGCTACCTTCACGATGACTCAGAAGACGACGACGTCGGCGCGATATCAACAGTCTCCACCTCCGCTCCCCGATACGCTCCCATCTCCTCCCGAGCCCAGATGCAGGCGTCCGGTCTCCACACCCCCCAGGTCATCGACGCAGACACAGTGGTTTCCAACATGCTCGAGGTCGTCGTAACTCCGGGGTGGATATCAAGGCCATCAATGCGCGTCTCGAAAAATGGGCGGACGAGATTGCCTCCAAGTTTAAGATCAATCGTGTCAAGGGCAAAAGCTACGAGGAAGAGAAGCTGGAGATTTACCATTCAGTCTTCCAGGCACCCCCGGAGTTACCCCCGTGACTGCCGAGGTTCTCGAGTCGGATGAGTTTGATGCTCCGCAACGGCAGGCCCACGCCGAGTACGAGGAGATCATCGAAAGTGTGCGTCTCGCGATTGAAATGGACGTACATCCTCGTATGATCTCACAAGGAAGCTCGGGCAGCTACTTTGCTCGAAACCCCGAAGGGAAAGTAGTGGGTGTGTTCAAGCCAAAGGACGAAGAGCCGTACGCCTCACGGAACCCCAAATGGACAAAATGGCTTCACCGCAACTTGTTCCCCTGCTTTTTCGGCCGCGCATGTCTCATTCCTAATCTCTCCTACGTCTCCGAAGCCGCCGCATACGTTCTCGATGCCCGTCTGCGCACGAACCTCGTCCCCTACACCGGTATTGTTCGGCTGTCCTCGAGATCATTCTTTTACGATTTCTGGGACCGCAGAAAGGCACGGAAAGGCAAGAAAGTTCTGCCTCCCAAGGCTGGCAGTTTCCAGGTTTTCCTAAAGGGATTTAAGGACGCCAACATTTTCCTCCGAGAACATCCCTGGCCTGACCAGGTGAATACTGGATTCCGCACCGAGGATGCCCCAAAGCGCAAGAAGCGGCCGTGGAACGAGGCTTGTCGTCCATCAGGGGCACAGTCAGACGACGAGGATGATGAAGATCCAGGCTATGTGCCCTCGCCAGCCGGTTCGCCTGACGGAAGCGCTGAGCGCCGATTTTACTGGACCGAGAATCTCAAGCAATCCTTCCGTGAAGAGTTGGAGAAGCTTGTGATCTTGGATTATGTCATGCGAAATACCGATCGAGGTCTGGACAACTGGATGGTCAAGATCGACTGGGGGACAGAGCAGGTTTCTATCGTGGCAGAGCCCCCGAAACACACTGAGGCACAGCCTAAGCACGATGAGGATGAGCTTATGCCCCCGCCTCGTCCTGTTTCCGTGAATTCGAATGGCACTACCAATCCCTCTTTCCACCCCTACAAGCGGCATGAAACCATGATGGCTATCAGCCGCACGGGGACTCCACTGGCCTCATCGGAACAGTCAGCTTCTGTCCAGCTTGGTGCCATTGATAACAGTCTGTCCTGGCCATGGAAACACCCAGACGCTGTAAGTTTTCGTGTTCACGGGTAATTACAACTTTCCAACACTAACAACTTGTAGTGGCGTAGTTTCCCCTTCGGTTGGCTTTTCCTGCCAGTTTCATTGATCGGACAACCCTTCTCGCAGAAAACCCGCGACCATTTCCTTCCATTACTGACCTCCACAGACTGGTGGAGCGGTACACAGATGGCTTTGCGTGGTGTCTTTGCGCAAGATGATGATTTCAAAGAGAGCATGTTCGCTCGACAAATCGCTGTTATGAAAGGTCAAGCTTGGAATGTGGTGGAAACATTGAAGCAACCGGATCACGGCCCGCTTGAGCTGACTCGACGGACCCGAGTCTGTGTATGGGATGACTTGGTTGATGTCCCGGTTGCTATTCCAATGCGCGCGCCTTCTACAGACAGACAAAGAAACCGATCTATGAATTATGACCCTGATGAAGAAGAGATGGATATCGGTGCATCCGCATCTTCCCAACCAACCCCCGAACACGACTTATTGGGATTGAACTCGTCGCCAAGCGACCTCCCCAACCCAAACCGGTTCGAACTCACCCGTGGTCGACCTGACGCTGGCAGCGAACATGCTGATGGTTCTGTCGGTAGCCCTGCGACTATAAATGACTTCGGCGGCCGAAACACCGGGGGTTCTCTAGATGGATGGTCTTCACTTCCTCCCCGCCAACACAGGCATCGCAAAAACGGCGGTTCCACGTCCTTCCGCGCTCCTCATGTCAACACATTTGGCAACGATGATCTCGAAGGCGACCTTGGCTATGCAGTTGCAGAGGGCATGGAAGGCAACCAGCGCAAGGTGATTGTCGAGCGCCTGGAAGCCGTCAAGAGCAAAAATCCTGTTTTCACCTGGTGCTAAGGCTAGATTATGTCGTACTGCCCTTTTCACCTTTCTACATTCTTGCATTACTTTCTCATTTAATTAGCAGCTATCTTCTGCAGCGTTGTCTTCTCGAGGTATTTGTTGGGTTCCCAACAAAAACGGCTCCCAATTCATGTTCGAGATTTCGACTTGTGCCTCTTTTTTTTCTGTGACATTTCACACGAGTCCTTTATTGGACATGCTCATGATTTGGGAGATTTCCGTGTTGTATATAGACATTCTCTGGCTGTTGGGGTTGCCTTGGGCTGTGGCGCATTGATTGGGCGATCTGCCTCATGTAGCATATTGACGAGACTTAATTCTATGATACCTTCATCATCTATTTTTCTAGATCAACTATGTTGACCAAGCTGACTAGCAACGGCATATGACCCTGCAGTATGTCACAAGATATAGATCCTAAGGCTGGCGTAGGAATAACCAGTCCTTGGCTTCTAGTGCTCCACGTCAGGACAATCTCATGGTTGAAAATGAAGTCCAGGTTTGACGCAATATTCCCCCATGTCAGACTCCGTCAACTGCTTACATGACATTGTTTTGTGAGACATCATCTTAGCCATCGCAAACACGCCTAGGCTAGACTCAAACAGATTAGCAATCCATAACCGTGACATCCGCCTGTTTAGATAGCAAATATCCTTAATTAAAGTGTCATAGAAGGAGAAAAGAAGCCGAAAAAAGTACCTAGGCCTTAAGACCCAATAAATCTCCTCGATCTATAAAAACCTTGGAAATGACAGGGGGGCAACTAATCACAGTGGGACCTCGGAATATATATCTGTCACGCGTTTAGATGCATACACTTTTTGGAATCTTATATTTCCAAAAGTTCTTCTTAGACTCGTCAACTTTCCAGCTTTTCCCTCAAGTCGACATAAGTTCATTCAAGTACTTGCGTGTCCATCACGCTAATACCGTAAGCGCGCGGACTGATAAGATCTTATCGGCGGGTTTCTCCGAGGCACCGACTTCAGAAGAACCACTTCGTCATTTCGAGTCTCTTAACGATACGACTAAGCTTACGACTGACTCGAGCAAAAAAGTCGCGCGAACCGAAAGACCCGCGGAATACTCGAGATCAAGGACTCTCCCTCGACTAACACAGCCGCCCACGAACCTAATCACGATTCCCTCGACGAGGCAAACGACAAGGCGCCGACTGGATTGCGACCACGAAAACGACGTGATTTCCCCGGGATAATATACGTTGATGACCGAGACAACAGCGCAACCCGTGTTGCCCGCGCTTCTCTTCCGTATCTCTCACTTTCAATGACGCCGGAGATTTCGCGACTCTCGCGTCTGGAAGACGCACCTTTCGTTGGCCAGACCATTTGCGTAATCACTTCGCTGCGACGTTAATATTCGTGACATCAAGCCTCAAAAACTTGAATTTGATTGATCTGCCTTCCCAAGCAAAAACATACGACAAGTCAGGTGGAGAATTAATCCCAAGCCGCAATCGCCTGTCTCGTCCCAAGCCACCTGACACGGCGAATACTTCTCAAATTTGAGCTTGGACATAACATTTGCCAGTCGGAAGGAACTCAGTCCTCTATTTCTATCCACAGCAAGTGAAAATAACAACCAGCTTCGTCGCCTCTCCAATCCACTGACTTTCATCACTTTGCTTTCACAGCACCGCGCAACCTTGAATCCGACCAAACCTTAGCCCGGATTTCTCGCCCATAATCGAGACATCATGGCATCTCATGCTGCGATGCTCCTGAATCCCAAGGGCTCCAAAAGACAAGCTCAGAGCAATGGTAATCCTCCCTTTTCTTCTTCCCCAGCGAGTGATTTGCCTCCCGTGGATGATGTCGCTATGTCCTCCGAGTTACCCCCGGACAAGTCTGAGCCTATGACTTCTTCTCCTGTGCTTGCTTCTTATGGTTCCCCTGCTGCTTCTCCTCGTGTTTCTACACTCTTTTGTGTCCATTCTGCCCCTCAAATGGATACTTCGATTACTCAGGCAAAGTTTCTTGGCCCGGCTGACTCTGTTTCCCCTTGTGCCCCCAATTCGCATGATCCATCTTCAAGTCTTTCTTCCCACAATTTATCTTCTTCTGTTATTTCTCCCCCGATAGACCCCATGTTTCTCGACTCCACGGATTTCCAAGGCTCACTTTTGGAAGGTCCAGGAAAACACCAGGGAAATGGTTCATATCCTGCCTCTCCCATGGCTCCCGCGGGCACTGCGGCCGCTACGCGCTTTGAACAACCCATTCGCACCTCTCCCAGTGTGGCGTCCGGAATCTCGACCCCGGCTGTGAAGTCAGAACCCGGTTTGGCAGTCCAGTTCAGCACTACCCATGATGAAGACAATGAAAGCGACACGAAAAGAAGTCACCACGAGATGAGTGACGACGAGGCCATCATCTACCGCCCCAATTTGATCGAAAACATCTATGGCGTTGAAAAACGGAAGAACCAGCCGACGAAGAAAATGAAAACTGAGCATGATGTCGAAGAGAAACCGAACACGGCCACAGCACAGGTCTCGATCTCTGGAGATAGCGGGCTTGGGAAGTGGATGAAAGAGGAGGATGTGAAACCAACCCCAATTTCCACTGCATCCAACGTGGTGGATTTGACGGCAGGTATGAGATGCTTTATTTCTCCCGTTTTCCCGTTTTCCCGTTTTCCCGCTTTCCCTGCTTTTGTTTGAATTAACCTAATATTCTTCTAGATCTTGTGAACACACCTAAGGACGATGACGAAATCCTATGCACCGGTTCAACAGATCTTAGCGCCCAGCGGGTCTGCTTCGGAAAAGTCGAAAACGCAATGATCATGGCCTATTTAGTCCCCAAACCAGGGCACTCTGTTTTCACTGACTGGTCGCACGCTTGGCCGTCTATTAAATTAGACCTGCAACGACAACCTGTGAAGGGCAATTTCCAGATCGACGTCGCGGACCCTCATGGCAAAGTTTTCGGTACACTTGACCACAAAACGGCACAAGGACTGTGTCCGCTCATGGACTCCAAAGAAGCTGCCATCGAAGTGTCAGCCTTATTGGATACCCGGAGAACTTCGCCGAATGAAGAGATTTGGCATCCCACCTCAGGGCTATGGCGTGCAACTCTCAACATCTATGGCCAAAGAAAGAAGGCAGAAGCTATTGGCAACTTCCTATCTCACCGCAATGTCTGGCTAGGAACTCCAAATTCCGTGGACAAAGGTACGACTGTGTTCAATCCACATGCAGAGAGCCGACGCCAGCTTGCTGCCGCACAGGCCGCCGCCAACAACTCTGGGCGTTCTCGTCCAGGGCCAAGCATCAGATATGAAGCGCGAACTGCCGAAGAGGCCAACGATGCAGTCATGAAAATGTTCGACCAGCTCGCCAACGCGAATATTCCGGCCATGGAGCCATCTCATCATATCACGACACCACTGCTCCATCACCAAAAGCAAGCACTGTGGTTCATGACAGAGAAAGAAAAACCGCGCAAATTTGGCCGGAAAGAAGAAGACAACAATTCCTTGTGGCGAATGGAACGTGCACCCAATGGCAAGACACAGTACCGCGAGATCATCACTGGAATAATTTCAGAGCAAAAGCCCGACGAGGCCCTAGGCGGCTTGTTGGCCGACATGATGGGCCTGGGCAAGACTCTGAGTATTCTTTCGCTCATCACGTCATCGCTTAGGCTGGCTGGTGACTGGACGGAGATGGCTCCTGATCCTGTCCTTGTTCGCCGAACTCCAGGAATTCGCAACACACGGACAACACTATTAGTTGTCCCGTTGAGTGCAGTGAGCAACTGGGTTACACAGATCAAGGACCATCTCAAGCCATGCTCCATCAGCTACTACATCTTTCATGGTCCCTCGCGTATCACTGATTTAGATGAACTTTCCGAGTACGATATCATTATCACGACATACAGCACCATTCTCAGTGAGATCTCGGGGCGTGGTGCCAAAAGTGGAAAGCTCAGCCCTTTGACAAAAATGAACATGTTCCGGATTGTTCTTGACGAAGCTCACATCATCAGAGAACAAAATGCGGCACAGACCAAGGCGATCATCGGGCTCCACTCTGAGCGTCGATGGTCAGTTACTGGAACACCAATCCAAAACCGCATGGAAGATCTCCTGTCTGTGACTAGGTTCTTACGGATTGCGCCTTACGACCAACGAAGCCAATTTTCCCAACATGTAACTAACCCGGTCAAAAACGGTGACCCCAATGTACTTGCCAGGTTGCGAGTTCTGGTGGATTCATTCACCCTGCGCAGAGTGAAGGACAAAATCAATCTGCCACCCAGGGAAGACAACATCATCACACTAAAATTCAGTGAGAAAGAACAGCAATTGCATGACTTCTTCCGCGCGGAATCACAAGTGATGATGAGTGTCATTGCTGGTGAGGACAAACGCAAGTTGGGTGGCCGGATGTATCACCATGTATTGAAGGCCATGATGATTCTCCGTCAAGTCAGTGCACACGGGAAAGAGCTTCTTGACATTTCAGACCGAGAGAGAGTCAAGGGGCTATCTGTTAACGACGCAATTGACCTGGAGGAGGGCGAACCGGACGAAGCCTTGGCAGCCATAGACAAGAAGGCATACGAAATGTTCGACCTGATGCAGCAAAACTCAGTCCCCCGGTGCGGCACTTGTAATCGAGAACTCGATGAACCTCTGAATTCAGTGGGGGCTGTCGCTCGGGACGCTCCGATGGCTATTGCCCTACCATGTCACGATATTTTCTGCCCCGGTTGCTTCTCTGGCTGGAAACAAACCTTCGATGAATCTCCCGACACCCTAATCCGTTGCCCTAGGTGCGAAGGCTGGATTCAAGTGAAATACTCGACCATCACGCCTGCTGGCTTTGAAGAATACAAAGCCCAACAGGAAAGTGATCGGCAAACCCGGAAGCTTGGCAAAAGTCTTGGTGAATACGAAGGACCCCACACCAAAACCATTGCACTGGTCAACTACCTCAAGCAAAGTGTTGAAGACAGCAATAAGCTCGAAGGCGAGTCGCCTATCAAGAGTGTTGTGTTCTCTGGATGGACATCGCACCTGGATCTCATTGAGATCGCCTTGCAAAACAATGGGCTTGATGGGTATGTCCGACTTGATGGTACCATGACCCTTGCAGCACGCACAAAAGCACTCGAGGAATTTGCCAAAAATGACAATATCAAAGTTCTTTTGGCCACCATTGGTGCCGGTGGTGTGGCCCTGAATTTAACCTCTGCCTCACGTGTTTTTATCATGGAGCCCCAGTACAACCCAGCTGCCGTTGCTCAGGCCATTGACCGTGTTCATCGTCTTGGCCAAACTCGCCCTGTGCAAACCTTCCAATTTGTGATGAAGGACAGCATTGAGGAGAAGATAATGGATCTCGCCAAGAAGAAGCAAGAGATGGCGGACACGAGCCTGAATCGCGCAAAGCAGGACAAGCGAGAGACCCAGGAGGCTCGCATGCGTGAATACCGCAGTCTTTTCAAGTAGATTCTCTTACTTTTTGTTTTCTCGTCCCAGCTATGCATGCTTTCCCCCATTTTCAGTTCCCTATTTGCCCCTGCGATTTCCCTTTCTGTTCCCATTTGATTTTTTTCTGATTTTTCATGTTTCTATTTCTGCCCCAATGCCGGTGGCTCGCTGGTTTCGTTTCAATGATACCCGGAAAAGGAGAAGGCGTTAGTATTTATCATTACATCTTTGATTCTCCTTATGATCATTTACCGGGCGTTTTATTTCTATGTTTCCTTTTTACGGGGCAGTTTCCAAGCACGTTTATACACAAGTTTGCTTTAACCATAGAAATCTTTTTCTTTTCTGCATATGACATTCATTGGGTTTACACTTATTAGTACGTGCAATATTAAATAATAGACTCTGCACACTTCCAATCTTACTTCTAGAAAGAGGGAGGGTGTAGGGGTTGGAACATGATCATTAAGAGATCTAGCCCTAAGTGGTGAACAATGTCTGCCCCAGCTATTTCCTTGTACGTTTTCGCTTGTATTTCAGTCCAGGTCATCATATTTTGAGCAAGATACCATGTATTGCTATCAACCGTTGAGATTCGGACCATTGACCTTGGTTGATTCCTTTCCTTCGGCCCTGTCAAGCTCACAAGCCCGTTTCGCCTTTAGGGCTACAAGAATAGTTGATCGCTAATGCTGCCTTGTTAAGTCTTTTCTACCGTTTTTCAGATGTCTTCTCAGATATTTCCTCAGATGTATTTTATTTTATAGATATTTCTCCCCTTTATCAGTGCTATAGTTACCTCAAAATTTGCAAGACGACTTTTCCATGTATAGCCTTCAATTGCCACTCCAGTGTCAAGCCAGTAAGAGCATAACATGCTCTATTTTAACCCCGTCAAGTCAGACGGGCAATGAATCTCCGGCTGGTCAATAACAGTGAACATAGCAGTACGAGGTGGATGTCTTAGATTCGGGGACGGAAATATGTACGCGTACTTTAAGCAGCGAGTCAACAGGGTCTACGGCCTTTGGGCTAGTTGTGACCAGGATTAAACATGACATGGGCAATGGGAAGGGGGCTTCCAAGAGATCAACGGTCTAGAGTACTTGATCATGTAGGTAAAGTCACCAAAAGGAGGTTTGTATGAAGACGTCATTTGTTCTTACCATGTCCATCCCCTCAAAGCGAGAGACGACGAGAGAGCTTATGGGTATCCACGCTTGGTTGACTAGACCCTATACAAATTGGTCTCGGGCCAGTACACAAAGACACCTTTTGTTTTTCTAGGTTCGGGAGCAGACGACATTGGCGTTTTGCAAAGAAAGACTCCATCGCAAGGCCGGAAGGAATTAGAATGGTGTGATCATGTGGTATTCGTGAGATTTATTCATATGTCTGTGCAATCGGTTAAAGACCCTCCATCACATAACGCCGAGAATATAGCAAGGAAAATGAAGACCCGCCCCAGTCCTGTCTGTTTCGTATAACTCCCAAAGTGCAGGTAAATCGAATCGTCCTGAGAACACGCATAATCACTTTTGAGGATACCCATCCCCGTGGATACCCACAGCCACAGCACCGAGGACATCCTCGAGCCGAGTCCTCAACTTTTTTAAGTCTCGGACTTTCGCAGCGCGCTCCTTCTCAACTTCTCTAAGCTCTGTCTCCAGTTCTCGGATTCTGCTCTCTTGCTCAGCCTCAGAGGCGCCAATCCCAGGAAGCACAGAGATGAGGTACTCGATCTGCTGTTCTTTGATAATGAGATCGCGCGCAAGCTCCCGCTGCCGGCTCGCAAATGTGCGGGGTGAGTCCGGCGCGGGAGGGAGGTTGGGATCATCACCTTCTGATGCTGTCCCTGGTGCAGCTCCAGGCTGTTGAGGAGGCGCATGCGGGGGTGATGCATTTCCTGCAACGGCGGCTGCACCCCCCACTTTGTTTGCGATGGCTGCTGGGACCGGTGGTGCTGACGAGTTCTTGGTGATCTTGGCTAGGGCCGGTACTGCGTCGGGGACATTTGGCGGCGGTGTCGTGGGGGCATTGTCGTGGTATGTTGTGAGATAGCCAAGGGTTGCGTAGAATTGGGTTGCGAGCTATTTTGTCCGTATGGTGAGCAGGGGACTGAATGTAGGTTTTGCGGAGCGGATTTTACCTGATCCAGACAAGTCTGCAGCTGTGTGAGAATGTCAGCCATGGTAGCGACTCGAAGAGAAGAGGAAGGAGGCTTAGAGTGGCTCAAGAAAGAAGAAGTGGAATGTCTGGTCGAGCGAAAGAAGCGGAGCAGATGCGGAGACAAGCTCCAATGCGGTGAGACGGCCTTTTCTTCCTCACATCACTCAATGCGCCTATTGCGACTACGCTATGGCCTTGCTGCCGGATACTCTCACTTGAGGCTCAGAATAAATATCTGTCGCAGCTTTTCCAGCTCCCAGGTTCATCGTGAGCTGACACCGTTCACGCGCCGGCTCTTCAAACTCCCCTCGGCCCCATCTCCGCCCTCGCAACACCACAATGACCTGACAACATTTCTCTCCTACGCGGAGCATATTTCTCTTCCAGAGACGAGTACGGTACATGTCGGCACACACTACGAGTATACCGTTCTCCGAACCCTACGTCGCTATGCGCTAAGCCTTGACCGCATCGGCGGTCGCGACGACGCCGGCATCGATCTCGTTGGCACTTGGCACCTTCCGGAGCGGGAGCGAGAGCGCGCACTCCGCGTACTGGTACAATGCAAATCCCTGAAGGCCAAAGTGGGCCCTAACGTCGTCCGCGAGCTAGAAGGAACCTTCCGCCAGGCACCTGTCGGGTGGCGCACGGGCGAAACGGTTGGCGTGCTGGTGAGCCCGCGTGAGGCAACCAAAGGTGTTCGTGATACGTTAGCTCGGAGCTCATATCCGTTGTTCTGGATGATGATCGAGCGGGATGGAACCTTGAAGCAGGCACTTTGGAATGCCCGTGCAGAGGAACTTGGGATTGGCCCTCTAGGCGTGGAAACACGATATGGAACCACAGGAGACGCCGAATCTGGCTCGGTTACAAAGGAAATGCTATTGACCTGGGATGGATGTGATATCCCCGATATGGACCAGGTGGAGCAAAAGCTTTTCGAGTTCGCCGAAGAATGGGTCGCATCCTGGGGTATGGACTTGTCGGAAATCCAGAAGGGGGAGCTTCTGGATGCTGCAGAAAGAATCCTACCGCATGACGTCTCTGCTCAACTGCTTGACAGGACAATATCGGACGCAGACAGGAAGAAGGTAACCCAAGCTTTACAAGAGCGGCTACAACAGCAGCGAGCATCCGAGTGAACGCTCTACCACCTGAAAAAGATGCTATGTCCAGGCGGCCATATGGCTGGCTGCAATTTATGAAGAGGAATTGTATGACTTAATGACAGAAAATAATCCAAGGGTATAGAAACACCAACAGCGATAGAAAGACACGGCTTCCAGCCTCCAAAAATAAAACGCCAGAGACCACAGACAATCAGAAAACCCCCACTCGTCATCATTATCCTTGCATCGTTGACCAAAAGTAATTTGCGTAGAAGAAGCGGGAGAATTTTGGGTCGATATTAACGACATGAACATCGCCCTTACGGCTATTGCGAATGACCGCTCGGTTGAAATTGCCCGCCTCATCGGGCTCGATATCAACACCGAGAGAACGGAAGATCTTGAGCCGCAGACTAGATAGATGTTAGCAAGAGTCTCAACCTAAGACCGGGATACAGGCACGCACATTGTCGCATCATCGGCCTCACGCTCGCGCCGCGTTGTTTCGTCGCCCTCGAGGCCCTGGGATTCTAGGTCGACCAGTCTTTCCTTGAGCATCTCCAGCTCGCTCTCCAGGCGCTCACTTTCAATCTCTAGCTCCGATGCAGCCTTGGCGATACGAAACTTCTTAGTGTCTAACTCCACAATCTCCGCCGCGTGTTTGCCCGAGTCGTGCACGGCCACGGCTTCTTCATGTTGTGTAGATAGGGAATTTAAGTGGCGTGAAAGTTTTCGCATGGCCGACTCGGCCTCGCGAATGCGCAAGTCGCGCGATTGCTGGAGCGCTGAGAGCGAGTCATTGATGCGTGTGACGGCTTGTTTATCGGGGTGGATGTTAAAGTTGCCGATCGTGTGGTGGATGAGCTGAAACCGTTAGTAAATTCGTCGGGCCTAAATTATGGAGCAAAGGGAGTAGTACATACAGTTCCAGGGTCCTCATCGAGCAACATGGTGTCGGTGGTTACAAATGTCGAGGTGGAAAGTCGGTTGTTTTGGGTTTGTTGCGGCAGCAACAGCCACAGCACCGCCACATATGTTGCTCCTCCGCAAAGTGACGTTGTGCCTGTGATTTCTCCGTCCTCGCTTTTGCCTTCTCGCTCAACGCAACCAAGACTCTTACTTTTGATAAACTGCTATCGGATCGTTAGAACTCTTGTTCTAATCAATATTACTCCGTCTAAAGACCACAAACTTCCTATCTCGCCATGTCCAACCTTCCATGTAGGTGGTTTGTTCCGACTGATGCCTGATGCTTGGAAACTAACTTGCTTTGCCCCTCCAGATGCCGCCGATGCGGAAAGGTTTGTTTTCCGTGGAAAAAAATCAGTGAAAGAAAATCTCGGAACTGTAAGAACTAACCTGACTATCACCGACACAGTCCCTTGAAACCCGCCGAGCTACAGGTCCTAAGAGCGCAGTACGAGAAAGAAGGCGACTATGTCGGGATCCAGACAAAGTTCAATTACGCATGGGTATGGATTTCTCGGCCTTGATCAGGTGTGGCCGCGCTAACCGGTACTCCCCGCCCATGCGGGGTGGTATTGACTACAGGGTCTGATCAAATCCAACATCCGTTCCGAACAGCAAGAGGGTGTTCGCCTGCTTTCAGAGATCTTCCGCGGAGCCCCAGAGCGGCGACGTGAGTGCCTCTATTATCTGGCCCTCGGCAATTTCAAGCTAGGGAACTATGGCGAAGCCCGCCGATACAACGATTTGCTCCTGGAGAAGGAGCCCGCAAACCTCCAGGCTGCCAGCCTTGGGTCTCTCATCGATGATAAAGTCGCCAAGGAGGGCCTGGTGGGTGTCGCGATTGTGGGTGGCTTGGCTCTCGTCGCGGGTGTGGTTGGCAGCTTGGTGATCAAGGGAACCAGAAGACGGTAAACATATGTTTAGGATTGACGTGGCCTGCAAAGGCCGTGACAGCCGAAAGGAGCGTCCGTTGAAGTATAACCACCTATGTATATTTTTCGTGTGGGATCTGATTTATTGGCCTTTGCGATTTCTTTTTTTGTCGGAGCATCCGAGGGCGTTACATCTTTCTTCTCTACTCTCTCTCTCTCTCTCTCTCCTTTGAAGCCACCAGTAGGGTGGTAGTATGCTACATACCTACCAAATCGGACATGACCCAACATTCGTCTAATGCGTGCATGTACATAGCTTCTAGTAGCAAAACGAGTTGGTCACATTCATAGATTGCTATGTAGTATATGCCTCGGCATCGAACCTTGCCATACTGCAATGTCGATAGTGTCAATTATTATCTCTCTTCAACCTGAACAATCTTGCCGGTCTCAACTTCATAGAAATACCCTGTAATTGGAACATCCAGGATAAGAGGACTATCCTTCAATATCTTAATATCATCCCGAACACTCTGCTCTAGATCCCCGAAGGGCAGAAACGCAATGTGGTCGACATTCTGGTGTAGATCCGCACGGATCTTGTCTCTGATACTCTCGTCGGTGAAAGTGAGCATTCCACAGTTCGTCTGAAGATAGTCAGCAATTCATCCAAAAGTTGATAAGATGTAAGCCAAGGTCGAGGCTAAGTCTTAATGGTTCGTAAGGGTTTTGTACATGGTGCACGATAACGATCTCGCGGGTGCCCAACAGCTGTTGCGAAATGATAATGCTGCGCAGTGCATCTGAGACTCTGCCGCCGGCATTGCGGATTACATGGGCATCGCCTTCTTCTAGACCGAGGACGCGAGCAGGATCTATAGAGTACATAGTAGGTGTGAGTATCATTCTCTTGTATCGGCAGTACTGTGGATTATAGGTACCAAGGCGTGCGTCCATGCAGGCTACCACAGCTACCTTTCTGAAATCGAAGAAATAGAGTCAGATGTGTCTTTTGCAGAATACTGGTAATAAACGATGAGGCTAGAGCGAGAGCTATCAACGAACCGCTGTGGGGGTAGCTGCAGGTCGCCCTTGGTGAAAGATGCGACATAATTGGCATTGGCTGCTTCGAATTCCTTTGCGACAGACATAATAGTTTTAGTATGCTTCGAATATATTAATTTGGAGGACCTTTGGGGTTGATAATGGTATATAAAGAACATGCACACCCCGCTTCTGATGTGATATGCGCGAAGAAAGGCAACATATCTTGCCAATGGTCGGGAAGATTAAGCTACTTGAGTGAGAAATACTTGGCATTTAAGAGTAGATATAAATTCAGTTGTTTTCCATCAAAAGCAACGCTCATCATACACCTAGAATTCTCTTTAATACAATTTTAAATTAGACTCTACGGGCCTTCTCTAGACAGCCCTAGAGACCTACTTACTACTTCTAGCCCTGATATGAACCTGGTACGAATGTAGTGATTATTTGCAATTATTGCTATGTGCCAAATATAGGCAACTAGATCAAGCCTTGAACTCCTTCTTCGCAACCCGTTCACAAAGGTCGCGCAAGACAACTCCAACAGCTTCGAAATCACTTGTCTCCAAGTAAGTCTGACCACTCAGGCGAGTCCATAGCCAAGGTCCATGGCGGAAAACTGGCAGGAAAGTGTTATGGTTGTCCAACAGCTGCGTCTGAATCCAAGAAAATGCATTCGGGGCTTCTTCCTCGGACAACACACCCAAAGGGATATGATCGAAAGATTCGGCCTCTTTTCCGGCAGGGGCAACAGCAATAGGCAACCGAACCGTAGTCATGGCACACTGGCGCATACGGCTCTCCTGACCAGGCTTCAGATCAGGTTCTTGCATGACATCAGTACCGAGAGCGGCAGCAACAGCATCTGCGCCTTCATTTGCAACACGCTGGATGTAGGCAATAATAGCATCCTCGCCTCCGCAGACTTCAGCGCGGAATTTCAGCGCTGCTGGAACGCAGATATACGCGGAATCATCACTGGTGGCGACGAACTGAAAAAGTCGCTCGAAGGCCGTCTTTGTGACGGGGGCATTGGGGTCTTCAAGCACAGATGCGAGAGTTTCGGGAGACTCCGGCGCTGGGATAAATCCCCAAGAGGTTGGCATGGTGGTGCGGAGCAGATGCTGGTTACGTCGGGGTGTATAGAGGATTGCACAGCTGCGGGGTGTGTAGAGCCATCTTTATGAGGCTGAGTCAATATTCGATGTTTACTTAAGTTATTGGAAACGGTAGGATAATAGGGGATGGTCCATACTTGTGACAATTTGATACGAAGAAGTCAGGCTGTAGCTTCTCCATATCGAGGTGGATATTTCCAATGCCGTGCGCAGCATCGATAACGCTCAAAATACCCTCTTCACGACAAATTGCAGTAATCCGTTCAAAGGGAAATCGCACACCCGGATTACTGACGATGGCATCGAAGACACTGGCCCGGACCTTGAGTCCCTCTTCACGAGTTTGACGAACCACCTCGCGGAAACGGCGTTCTAGCTCGTCTTCGGTAATGGGAAACTGGAAAGACACTTTTCGGGATTGGAAAGAGCTATGCTCTTGTAGGGAGACAACACCCTTCTCAACAGCACCGTAGACGGGCTCAAAATAAATGAGTGCCTCACCCGGTTGGAAAGCCAAGTTATACAGTACTGTCGCCACGCCTGTAGTCGCATTTTTGACAAACACACACTCGTCTCGCTGGGCATTGAGGACCTTTGCAACAGCCTCACGAGCTTCATCTAGATACTCTGCATGGTGTCGGCGGATATAGGGATCTGGCCGCACATCGGCCAGATCCATGAAGGCACGCTGTGCGTCTTTGACGGGAATCGGATGGGCGCCAAACGAACCATGGTTGAGGTTCTTATAGGCGGGATCAAACATCCAATGCTTCAGCATCGGCTTGCCAAATGGAGTTGATTGACCGGTCATGATGTTAGGGGAATGTAAGAAAGCTTGGAAAGGATAGGATAAGTTCGGAACACCGCAACTTCAGCGGGAGGAAGTCAATTTAAGAACAAGGCCCAAGAGTAATGACTCAAATTAGCTCTTTGATAACTTTGTCATTCCTTCAGAACATCGAGAGGTCTGATCCTTGAAAACATAGGTGAGTCACGCCGAGCCAATGACGACTCGTGGGGTCTTGCGGTGCTAACCGGAGATCCACATGCCAGCCGAAGGGCGTCGAGATAGAATATCGTTTGCGTGTCATACAAAGATGAGATGAGAGATAAGGATACGCATGAGATCAGTATTTTAAGTTGCATGGCTTGCGTTGACATTATTTTACAGTAGATCCTGGGGGCCACGACAATGCGGCTTATTGCTTTAGTTCATCCCAATGAAATTGGAACATATAAAGTGAAAGATCGCACTAGTGGGACATTGTTCTGGAAATTTGGAGCAGTCGCTACTAGTACAACCAAATGAGATACGGTCAATCAGCTGAATTGCCGGGCCAGATGCCCCGCGTTCGTGTGTGCATTATATATTTACAGGTAGAGATGTGTGCTATAAATCACAGAGATTATCGAAATCCCAGGGCAAACTTATCGTTGCCAGACGAAGAGCCTTTTCAACGCTCTGCCGTCGGAATCCTGGACCATTCCCAACGCATATGGCTTCCTTTGAGAGGACTACAGTGGCATTAGTACACTTCTTCAAGTTATTCTGTTTCCATGAACTCACATTTAATGAAGGTTGCTATATCAAGTGATGACGAGACTGAATAATCAAAACGGCCAGAGGAATCACGAAAGTTCTCAATGATCGCTCTCTTGTCGCGCAGGTATCTTTGCACTCCGATGGCATCCAGCCACTCACCAGAAGCTGATTCGAGCGCAATCTGCCATGTTCTAGACGAGATCTGAAGCTGTTCACCCGAGAATATGTTCATACTGGACCGCAGGGCGTGAAACACATTAGTCTTGCGATCTGTCAAGTCACCGGTTTTATCTTGCAAGACAGCGTAAAAGCCTGAGATCAGACTGTTGCGTTCTGAGAGACTCGGAACAGACCCAAAGATATGCTGGACTGTGGAATGGTGTGGATTGTCGATAAGAAGGCGGTATCCGTTCTGACAGCAAGTCCGGACTAGACGTTGTGCAATATTCCACTGCCTGCCAGGCGTTATATTACTAGATGGTAGATCTAGTGTTGAGGAGTTCGATAATGGCGGAGTGATATAAGGAAATTGAACAGTAGGTGACGCCATGACGAGGTCAAATGGCAGGATGGATTGATCTTGATATGGTGGGGTAGGAGGGCTGGGCCAGCTCGTGGCAGCTGATTGTATTATATCCTCGGCATCTGTTGAAGCTTCTGAGTATGCGTCTAGAACTGGTGTCTGGGCTGTATTATTATTTGTGACTCGGGACTCTTTTGCGGCCCGAACGAGGGGAAGGGCCTCCTCAGTCGGTTCATCGCTCCCGGCCTTCGCAAGTGACACACATTGCTGAGTTATGTTTTGAAGGGCCGATGCGATATGCGGATATTGTAAGAGGATTTGATCTTCTATAAGAAGATTACTGAAGGAGAGGAAAGAGTGGCTGATATTCTCGATTCCGGTTTCTAATTCGTGTACACGATTCTGCAGGTTACCGATTGTGGTCTCCTTTCGTTTGCGATATGCCTGCTGCGCGAGGCGGAGCTGTTTGCGACGTCTCTAGAAATTAATGAGTATAAGATCGGGCACTTGGAGCGTTGGAATCTGACCCACCTCTGGCACTTCTTGATCGTCAGTCACAGTTCGAGGACGACCGCGTTTGCGACCACTCGGTTTAGCAATTTCTTCGCCCATTGTCTGGAATTAATATATGAGAAGATCTTGTCTCGACTTGTATCGAAAATGTGCAGCCTGGGAGATCTGTAAGAAGCATGACAAATGCGGAGGCGAGTACGATTATATGATCTGGCCGAGGAGTCGGGATGTTGAATAATCGAAAAATCAACGGGATGACATAAGACGGAGGAGATCCATGGTGGATGCTCAGTGCTTCCAAGGTTCATATTGGTCACTTGACTTCATCTATATGACCCGCTTTCCTCTACTTAATTCATACTACATCAAATGTTATACATGGGAAGGGTGCTTTGTACATGTCCATTCGTGCTAAACCCCAGAAAGCAAATGAGGTCAAAGTAAACTCCAAAAGCCTAGCTAATTTCGAGCAAAAGTAATGTAAAAGCCCACGTAAACACAATATGACTACTATCAAGAGAATATAGAGATAAGAAGTTGCATAAGCTCCCTCACTCCTCATATGTACCCTCGCTGTATGTGTGCTCATTGGCCGTATCCTCATCATCTGTATCCTCGTCAATCCGTATTATCGTGATCCGCATCCTCATCGTCCAAATCATCAGTACTTGTATCCTCCACACTACTTTTCGTGTCCGACTAGGGTAAAATTTCTCAAACTGGATAGATTCCAAGTTTGGCAGGTTTTCGGATAGAGCCTCAGATTCTGCAATATAAAGAATGGCTGGTATCTCAATTCGAACATTCGACAAATTCGGGAAGAGCTTCTATATATGCAAAAGCCCCAGTTAGTCATGTGGTACAGCAAGCAGATGCCCGGGTGGTGGTATGGTCAGTGGAACAAACCAGAATCCGGTCAGTGAGATTATCCCATTGGGCAGGATATAGAATGCTAGGCCTAGCCCAACGGTCGACATGAAGGGTCTGGAGATTTGGCATGTTCAAAGTCGGGACGCGGATACTCTCCTCGCCGGTGTCCAAGTCGTAAAAGCGCAAAACAAGGCGTAGAGTGTGTAACTTCGGGAAGAACACATCTTCCAAAGCCGGCTGTACCATTCCTTCAGTCTTTCGGTTATAGATTGTTACGGTTGCACTCTTCATAAGGTTGGCATAAGTCTGTCGGCGCCCGGAGGAAATTTTTAGCATGACATCGTTGAGAGGTTCACCATCTGCTTCCATGTTGCTTCACAATATACGTATTGCTTCATGGCACCATTTCTTATTTACCAAGGCGCAACTCAATAAGCAACGTGTGCGATGCCAGATTGCATTGTCCTTGTCGATCCAACGGAGGATTTCTCCCACTATTTCTGGAAGAGCCAAAGCTCGATGGGCAGTGAGGATAACGCTTTCGTCACTCATGTTTGGAGGCGATGGTATTGGATCGATCATATTAGCTCGGTTGTTGGAAAAGGAAGACGTGGAGAATGATGGAGTTTTAGAAGCAAGAAGTCTTCACTGTGAGATTTCTCAGGAATGTCTTCCAAGGTTCCATTTCGTAGATGGCTATAGATGGCCCCGAAGGAGATCCATGGATCCCGATGATTTCCTCCTAGTCCTATCTGAGCAATATGTGTAGTATCCTAGCCATCCCACTCCCTCTTCTTATATAGTACTTTCCTTTTTATATACTTGATATTCTGGATGACCTGGTTTGTTTGAAATGATTATAATAGTCTATATAATGTTGTACTTTTCTTCTTTAATCCCTCACCGTCACAATCCTGTCAAGATAGAGTGTACCAAACTAAGAGAGCTATTACTATTTTGCCACGGGAACCTCAGACGAAGCCTATTCTGAATCTTGCTATAGATGTAACTCGCATCTCATTATATTTCCACTCCTTGCATTGTATGCCAGCTTTCAAAATTCACGTGAGTGAAATCGCTGGCGCTGTTTGGATGCATGGAGTAGACATGAGAGATTGATGTATGGAAAACAAGACTTTAGATTAGTGACCAGATTATGGGTAATTCAATGAGTTATGAATTCATGAAAACTCAATATGTATGTAGGGCACGTGTGTGCCATCAATTGGATGTTCCTGTTTGGCATCTATGAATGATAGAAAGTAAAGTGTAAACAAGAATATAAGCTGCCTCTAAGCGCCCAAATGCTGCGGCTGTTGTGCGAGCCGCAAAAGTCATCGCTCATGTGTCATGTCCCATAAGAATAAGCCAACGCCGGGTCCGATGAAGTCATAATAATACAAACGCGGATGCGTTCAATGCAATGCAATAACACGAGCAAAAAAAAAACACACACACAAGACACCTGCCGTCGCAGGAGCTGGGTATCCGCACTGCCGATCGATGGAGGAATATGAGGACCAAAAGCTGCTGTAGCCTCTCGAGTGAGCGTTTTGGTAGAAATAATGGTAGTAGTGGGTCCGATCGAACATATGAGGTTCCTCGTCAAATCTCAACGCCAAAGCGGGAAAAGGCAGCCGAAGAAAAAGGCAAGGGTGCTGACATAAAGCGGAAGGTAGACTGGGGAAAAGATTCGATATTAACAGACGAATCTAATTGAAGGATTCGGGGGACTGCTCACTCATTGAGCCTCCACCTGGTGGCTTGTTCTGGCCAGAGTTAGACTCCCAGTCATACTGGTATCCTGTCGACAAGGCCGTAGGAGAGCCGGATGCTACCCAGGGCCAGACATTCGGGGTGACCCAGCTTGAGGTTTCTTTGTGCGTTCCGCTCCAGGGAACCGGGACGCTGTCGATGGTTGCAGTAATCTGAGGTGCGGACTCGGTCGAGGTGGGCTCGGCGTCTTTGTTGCCATTGACTTTGCCTCCTTCTGCGACGATTGACTGCCATGAGCCACTTCTATCACCATATCTGTACGAAGTTCCGGTGGAGTAATCAGTCACCGTCATTGACTTCATGTACATCTTGAAAGGACCTTGGCTATAGTCTGTTTGACCACCAGCCCAGTCTACGCGAACACAAGATATCAGCAAGCACGACAAGAATAATTTGCTGGACAGTCCCACTCACCAATAGTGCCCTTGGCATTGTTCGCATCACCGCCGGCCCACACACCGACCTTGACCATCATCGGGCTCTGTGGGTATTGGTTGGTCTCTGCCGTCTCGGGAGTGAGAACACGAACAGTCTTGCCATCAACTGCCCACACAATTTGGCTGCTGGTCCAGTCGATGGAGTAAGTGTGGAAGTCGTCATGGTTTCCGGGATTTTCATGGTAGGCGCCACGGCTGAATGAACTTGTGTCTCCTTTGCCGAAGTAATTGGTCTGTACTTGGGCGTTGTTTCCGCCCAGCCATTCCCAGTCAATCTCGTCTAAATCATCGGACTGCAGAACTGCACTGCTCACGATTCCCGTCCCTGGTGCTGCCTTGATAGTGCATTCCACGCGGCCGAACATGATGTACCAGCCGGACTGAATCAGCGGGCCATCACCCTGCTTGGCAATAGTGAAGGTTGCACCATTCGTTTGGTCAAATGTGACGGCCCCAGTTGACTTGAAAGCATCAGCTGCGCCGCTTGTGAAATCGAACGTCTTATCAGATTGGCTAAATGCAGGATCAGCGGGACATGCTGCTGGCTGTTAGTGACATATCGACAACGATGATTATGAGCCTTACATTTCTCTGTCGGATTGCAATCGGTATAAGTTTGGGCCGCGACTAGCGTGGAAGACAGCAAGCCCAGCGCCGCAAGAAAGAACCGCATGGTGAACCAAATAGAGTAAGCTATAGGTAATCTCCCAACTATTATGCAATAATGAAGAGGTGTGATATGAAAAGGGGAAAAGAAAGAGGAAAGAAGAGGGAGGTTTGACAGGTACACAAACAGTCTTAAACAATCAGGGAAGGTGCCAGCCCCCTCCGTTTTCGTTGCTTCTTTAATCGATGGGTCTCCCGGTTGTCCGTCATTGGTCCAATCATAAACCGATCAAGATGTCCACAGGTGGAACCTAGAGAGCCACGTTATTCCATGGAGTCTACACGGAGTATGTAGTCATTGTAGGTACATTCTACGGATGTGCAGTTCAGATGCCAATGTGAATATGTACAATGGTTATTCCGGCGTAACACAACATATTCGATTAGGCATCCTCGAGAATAGTATGCCCGGAATATGTAAATATTTTAGGCATCCGATGAAAACAGTCTGAAAAACCAAGAAAAAGCGGCAAGGCCCAAGCAAAATAATAATAGGTGGCAGGGGACCCACATATATTACCCACAACTCCCAGCCTCCCGTATACTTCACTTATTATTAGAGACGTGATCTCATATTGAAGATCTTCTTTGCATGATATGCATTTAGAGACTCCATACTCCAGACTTGTCTTCAATCTGAAACAAAGAATAGGTAGTACTAATCAATAGTCGTGATTCCAATGTTCCCGCCAGGACTGTCTACCATTGGGCAGGTATTTCCCCATTAGCTCTAGCGGCCTTATGAATGATATGACTTTGACGACCAATCTTGGCTAATCTTTTGATATCTGTAATGCTTAATGCCCACTTTGCTTAGGTATGGTAGTAGCATAAAAGGCTGGTCTAGACTTTGACATAAAGCCGCCGATCTATGTAGGCGATCGATGTAAGGGCGATCTGCCGGGCGACGAATTGAACCACGACAATGGGAGAAAAATAGCCCGACATCTCTATATTCAGCGGTGATAACTGGTTTCTCTCCCTGGTAATAACTGCATAAGAGTATAAACTTTTGTTCAAGTGTCGCATCTAGGCTCCTGTACGATTAGGTAACGATCTCGTGCGGTATACTGGTCTACCTAATCTAGTGACCTTTCTACCTACATTTACTGTGATAATGTGGAAGTAGCCCGGGCTACGAATATTCTCTAGGAAACGCTCTAGGCAAGGGTAAATGTATTGTGTGCAGGGCGATGTGGGAGGAACTGCGTGCGCTCTTGGAGAACCGGTTTTCCACGAGACTAGACTGGGACGTTGACGCATAACGGACGCTTATAAGTTCAAAATAGCAAAAGGCACAAGGTTACTAGTAGATCAAACCTTTGCGTGACGTAAAAGACATTTTTGGCAACTTATCGCGATCAGGTCCAGTCAGAGCGGGATGGTCGGGGTATAGGGCTATGCATTTAGCGTCTTCAGACGCAAACTTCTTGCGGTGAGCGTCGCTTGGTGGATTCGTTAATTTTCCCACACAACTCATTTTGTTCTTCCTTCACTAACCGTGTCAAGCACTCAACACCCGGTAAGTGTGTTAGGTGTGTTGGGTGCTTGGCACGGTTCCCTTCTCATTCCACCTAGACACTTATCCCACTATCTTATCAACTATACGCAACGCTGCTAAGCTATATTTCAACATTCTCATCCGATCTTTTTACCATGGGTGAACTGGTCCCCTTGGTGAGGGCGCCAGTCTTGCCGAAAAGATAGTTATCGTGGGCAGCGGTAACAAAGGCCTAGGGTATGTGATGGCTCGTCTGATCATCAACGAAGAGGCCATGGTCAAGGCGGCCATTACTGCTCGAACCGACACTAAGGTCAACGCCAATTCCACCGAGACTTGCGCAAATACCGAACTATAGCTTAATCTCAATGGTTAAATCAGGTTGGCACATAAAATTTAGATTTGCGAACTTGACATGGTTTGTAATGCCGGGTTCAACCGTTTCGCCTTTGAATCTACACGCTCCACTCTAGATTTGCGGGGTCTCTAGCAGTTTCCACCTCAGTTTCCACCTAGACGGTGGATTGCTAGACCCACTTATTGTATTCAATCTAGAGGAAACTGCTGGGAAAGGATCTCCTAGAATCACATGGACTACAGTCATACCGAGAACACGCTGAAAATTTTATGCGAAGCTGGTGTTGTGACCATCATACAACTTCGAACACCAAGCATTCTAACTCTTCCACCGTTACTAGGACAGCAAGATGGGGATGCTTCCGTCCAGGAGCTGGCGCTTAGAGCGCACCCCGAGGAGATCATAGTCAATAATATCCGCCCCGGCGTTTCCAACGAAATGAACAGTGCTAGCACTGTGCCTGCTTAGTTCAGACATGAGAGCAGAACTCTAAAAGAGGTCGTGTTTTTGTTCATGCTACTGTCGTCATTGGCAGAGATAGTTTGAGAAAGTTTGAATCGATCAGTACGTGTTAATTATGATGGTATCAGGATCATTTTGAGAAGAAAAAGATATACTTCAATTTCCAATGCATGATGGAGGTTCGCTGAATTGGTTTTGATTTAGCCTGTATCTCACAGGACTGTTCTGTGGGCATAACTATTTGTACAGTACTAATCCGTAGAAGGGGACCCAAATATCAAAATCGATGGCTTTTAATTAACGTTCAAATGAAGGTATAGGGCAGATATATCACGAGCTAGATAAATTGCAAGGGAGAAATGAGCTGTGCAACGGTAGCAATACATTCCTTGGCAACCCGAGCTGTCACCAATATATATAAAAGAAATATGAGTAAGGTGCTACAGGGATTCTTTGTCATAGCCTCAAAAGTGAAACTAGTTAGGACCAATGACTACTAGAAGGCTATGTAAGAATGGCGTAGGTTTATGTGCCTTCAGAGGCAAAAATAGAACGTGATGTAGAACAAAGACGGAGCTTCTCCCTGTTAAGCACGGACAGCGTCACGGACCATGCCCAGAATAAGAATATCTATAAAATATCAGAAGAAATGAAGGAATGAAAGGAAAAATAGAAAGAAATTGTTTCAATTATCTGGAGTACCTGATTAATCTATATTTCACCTGGGTGAAAATGCAAGGTGTTGTCCAATTGTCTCCAAAGCGCTAATGAGCCTCATGACTTCTACCCGACATCCGACATGGGTTTCTTCTTTTCTTATTACAATCTCATCTTCAACTTCCTTTTATATTTTTTTCCCCCTCCATTATAGGGATCTTGGCTTTGTTCTCGATCGTCATTACGTTGATCCGCCTTTGTCACGAGTCATCCCCACTCTTTCTCTTCCTCCCCCCCCCATTAACCCTGGACCTCAAATAATCACCCCGTCCGCCTTGTATGCGCCCCGGTTACCCTTAACCGTGATCACTTCCTAAAACTTCATGAAATAACGCCCCATTCTCGATACGCCCCATTTTGACCCCTACACCCTCTTGCCTCAACCTTTTCATACGCCCTCTATCACCCAGCTCCTTCACGCTCTCAACTTAATTGCCTCTCATCAAATTGGCCCTTCAGAGTTTCTTCCGGCTATTAGACTCTCTACCGTGTCGCCGGCCTCAACGTGGCGCCAGCATCTGAGACAGCAGAATCGATACACGTTGCAGCTCCGCCGGTCGCCCATACCACCCAATAATTATCGGTTCTTTTAATGCTGGACTGTTCTGAACTATCGCCACACCCCAAGATACAGCTGGCTGCGACTTGACTAGGGTTGCCGTGGTGGCATTCGGCCGAGTCTGAGAGCAGCTATGCCGGCGCGGGATCGCAACCAACCCGACAACCGTCAGGGTTCGGAGAGCTCTGGACACAGCTGGAGGTCGCAAGATACCGTGCGAAACTCGGAGGGTCAGTCTTTAGACCAATACGAGGCCTCTACTGGAGGTCACAATGCCGGCTCGTTTCCGGGTTCCTTGAAAATGGACTCCAAGTAAGCTTATGTCTCTTCAAAGGACCCACTGGCTCTCTATGCGATCATGGCGTGTCGAATCCAAGCTCAAAATGAAGAAGTGCTGATCTTTTTTTTCCGCCAGGCCCGACTCGAAACCCCCTCGGATTGATTGGGAAAATTCCATGTGGTCATGGAATTCCCCGGATATTTCCCCAACCGAACAACGCAAAGCCTCTAGCTTTAGCAATCGCCGCGAGGGTTTGACTGTTCCAAGTAACAGACATAGTCCATCTCAATCATCCGTCTCGAGTCCTCGACCTCTGCCCCTTCACCCATCTCGCGTCGACTCCGACGAGATCGAGTCGATTGCCCCGTGGTCCACAGCCCCCAGCAGTGGTCAGCCAGATAATAGTGGCACTTTTTATAATGATTACTCGGAGCATGAAGCCTCGCCTGCATCATTCACATTTCGCCCCACGACCGGACGAACATTCGCAAGCGAACCCGCCGAGTTGGAATACGGGGAACACCGCCGGCCATCTGCTGCAAGCGCAACCACAGTCAGTAGCCAGGGGTCTAGATCTAGTATTAGCCAAAAGTTTCGAAAGAAGCATTTGAAAGGTCTACTTGGTGATGACTATCATTCGCCTGCGGAGCTTCAAACCGATGACGATGGCGCCCAGAACCCGCCGAACAGGCGTGGGGGACCAGTCGACCAGTTGAAGGCGCGCGAGAGAGCGAACTCAGATGGCTCGCGCAATACGCCCGAGGGCTCCAACTCCTCGCAACGTTCCCAGAAGCCACGGGCAAATATTCCTTTGCCCTCCAGTGACGTCACTCCATGGGACTATCAGAGCTTTAATGACATCCCACAGTATGGGGAGGCACCAGTGCGCCATGTACCCATCGGCCCCGACGGACAGCGTCTTCCACCCTCAGATAATGGTACCGCAGGGCAGAGGGAGCCAAGCCGACGCGGACCCGGCAGACATCGTCCTTCACGAAGCAAGGAAGAGAACCCGACTGTTGCTGGCGATCTAGCATGGTCCCAACCTCGACCTGCTACTGGCAGGGACGACATTGGATTGCGGCCTTTCAATGAGCACTACTTGCATTCAACGACTGACATGAGCGACTCTACTGTATTAGGGGGTCGGTCGACAAGTCCAACACCTAGTGTGCGTAGCACATACCGAGACCCCGATCAGAACTCACAGCATCCCAGACTCGGCGGGTTCATCAAAAAGATCCTCGGGAAGTCGCATGACAAATCGAGGAACTCTTCCCCACCGCGACGCGATAGGCAAGGAAGCTTCGGGGACGGGAGTACTTCTTCTCGATACCCAGAGTCAGTAGATTCAGATCGAAAGAAAGACTCTGGGAAGGGGGGCCTGGTTGGCGGAAGAAAGATTGGTAATCGTCGCGTGTTCACTCATCAAGGTGGTGACCATTATAACGCTAACAAGGACGACAAAACTCAAGAGGAGAACAAACACTTCTTCCACCTTGATGTCGATATGGCAAATCTGAAAGGGATTGTCCGTCCACCTTCGCCTGGGCAAATGAAGCGTGTGAAGGATGGAACGGTCACACCCGGCGACGATTCCAAAGTCGAAAAGCCATGGAATGCACCTGAAAGTTGGCAGGTCAGGGGGCCCGTCGACCTTACCCTGGAAGAACCTACTTTGGAGGAACCCACCCCCGTCGGTCCTCGTGAACGCGAAGCTTCGTACTTTATTCGGATCTTCCGAATTGATTCTACTTTTGCCACGCTATCGGCTGGTGTGAATGCCACCGTGTCGGAGATCCTCCTAATGCTTGGTCGGAAGTCTTTCTTGCAAGATCATCTCAACAATTATGAGATTGTTCTGCGGAAAAATGATCTCTCGCGGCAACTTGATCACAATGAGCGACCTATTCAAATGCAAAAGCGGCTGCTGGAACAAGTTGGCTATACGGAAAAGGATCGTATCGGAGATATTGGCCGCGAGGATCACAGTTATCTCTGTCGATTCATATTCTTGCCAACTAAGCTCAGCGGTTACAGCAGTCTCGAGAGTGAACCTGGTTTCAACAAAGCGCAAAAGTTCAGCCATGTGGATCTCCAAGGTCGCAGTCTTGTCACCATCCCAATTACGCTGTATGCAAAATCCTCCGAGATCATCTCACTGAACTTGTCGAGGAATTTGTCATTGGACGTTCCCAAAGATTTCATTCAAAGCTGCATTAACCTGCGAGAGATTAAGTTCATCGGGAATGAGGCCGCATTTCTCCCACAAAGCTTTGGTCTAGCCGCCCGATTGACCTATCTGGATGTGTCAAACAACTGCCTCGAGGACTTGGATCATGCGGGTCTCGATCGGCTGACTGGTCTTGTCAGCATCAAGATGGCGAACAATCAGTTAACTAAGCTTCCCAGCTCTTTTGGTAATTTCCAAAACCTGCGAAGCCTGAACATGTCGTCAAATAGTTTCAAGATCTTCCCTGATTTCCTTTGCAACCTCAAGAGTCTGGTTGATCTCGATATCAGCTTCAATGGCATAGAAGAGCTTCCCAATATTGGCCGCTTGGTCACTCTCGAACGCCTTTGGATGACAAATAATAACTTGAGCGGGCCTCTCGATGATTCCTTTGGGGAATTAGTGAACCTCAAGGAGTTTGATGGACGCTTCAATGCTATCACCAATATTGATGCTCTCTCTAGTCTTCCCCGCCTAGAGCAGATATTCTTTGGTCACAATCTTCTATCACGTTTCAAAGGCTCATTCCCGAGGCTGCGGAGTCTACATCTGGACCACTGCCCAATGACGCAATTTGATGTTGATGCTCCTATGCCAACGTTGACTTCTTTAAACCTTGCCTCCGGCAAGCTCTCCCAATTCAGGGATACCCTTTATGAGAATTGCCCGAATATGACGAAGCTCGTCCTTGACAAAAATCACATGTCCTCGGTTTCGCCTCAGATTGGCAAGTTGCGTCGACTGGAACACTTCAGTATGATCAAAAACCCACTCTCGTCTTTGCCTACAACCATAGGTTGCCTTACCGAGCTTAAGCACCTTAATCTGAGGGAGTGCAATTTGACATCTCTGCCAGCCGAAATTTGGCATTGTGCCAAGCTGGAAATACTTAACATCTCCTCAAACATTCTGTCGAGCTTTCCAAAATGCGGTGCTCCGTACCCTCAAATGCCCGGTGAGCCTACAAACACACCTGCAGCTACACCGGGCATTGCTGGAAACCCCAGCTATGAAGATATAGGCCCACTGGATGAACCAGGTCTACGTCGACCTAGTCAAACGTCGAATGGGATTATGAATTCTGTATCACCCAACGGGTATCGGAATCCTTCAACTGGGCAACCTGCTAGGAAGGTATCGGCGACTTCGCGATCATATACCGACCCGAACTCGGGGATTCGGAAGGACTCAAACTTCTCTCAGCAGATGGCAATGAC